TTTTTTGCTCAAATCTGGCACTCTATCACTTGGGCCACAGCTCCACTTCCTGCTGTTCTGGTAATTTTATCAGAGTCTCCTGGACTTTCCGGCTCCAGCTGGCTTTGAACTGGGATCCTCAGATCTGAGCCTCCTGAGAATCTAGGATGACAGGCGTGAACCATTGGCACTCATCTGCTTTAAGTTATTATATTTTTATTTTTTTTCCCAGGGTCCAACTTCAGACTTTCCTCACAGGCATGTACCACCATACCTGGCTTATGCTTTGAGATCCTTCCCCCCTCTAACTGGCTTTGAACCATGATCTTCCCATCTCCTCTTCCCATGTAGCTGGGATTACAGACATGAGCCACCATACCCAAACTTATGAGGGTTCCCAAAGTACCCTGGATGCATGAGTACCATGGAGCAGTAGGTGGTACCACCTGCGGCCTTCAGAGACGCGCTTACAGCACCCTGAGGTGGGGGGTGGGGGGACTCCAGCCCTTGGTCCTAGGAACATTCACTTGTGCATCTAGTGAATCGATGCGCCAAGCTGAGAGCCAGATTTTGACAGACAGACAGACAGACAGACAGACAGACAGGAAGAGGACCATCTGCACTCACCTGCACCACACCAGGGGAAAAGACAGCGAGGATGAGATAAAGCCAGACATAGGCGAAGATACTCCAGGAGGCCGTGACGAAGAAGACCCTGAGGTGCTTGATCTTGCGGCTCTCGCCGGCCGGGATGACATACACGCACACGGCGATGACCACGAACATGTTGAAGGCGGCGCTGCCCACGATGGTGCCCGGGCCCAGCTCCCCAGCCTGGAAGTTGTGGCCGCACACCTCGATGACCGACAGCAGGATCTCGGGGGCCGAGGAGCCCAGGGCCATGAGCGTGAGGTTGGACACGGTCTCGTTCCAGATGCGCACGGTGCCCACGCTGGTCTCGCCGTTGGCTTTGGTGATGGTGATTTCCTTCTCCTTGGACGTGATCACCTCGATGGACGCCATGAAGCGGTCGGCGATGATCGACACGCCCAGGAACATGTAGGCCATGGCCACGAAGTACACCACGGCCCGCGCCGCCTTGTCCCCCACCGACGGGTCGTCCGGCTCCCACACGGGCAGCAGCACCCCGGGCTGGCAGCGGTAGGAGCCCTGGCAGCCCTCCGGGCTGTCCTCGCTCTCATTGGCTGGAGGAGGCGGCAGGGAGGGCGTCGGGGTGACGGCTCCCAAGCACGGGGGAGCCCCGAGGAGGAGCGCGACCCCCACCAAAGCCAGCGGAGCCATGGGGGGACGTTGGGGTCCTGGGAGGGGGGAGGAGGAGGACGACGAGGAGGTCAGGGGAGAGGACCCTACTCCGCTCTGTCGCACAAAAGCCGAGGTGTGTTGGGTTCCCGGAGTGACCGAGGAGATGCCCCAGAGAGCGTCCGGCACACCCAGGGACGGCCAAGAAGTATGCCTGGGAGGCTGAGGGAGGAGGATAGGGAGTTTGAGGCTCCGCTGGGCTACAGAGCGAGGTTCTTGCAAAAACAAACACAAATGCAAGCACATAAGGGAATAAACACGGAGGGCAAAGGACAGAGGACCCCCTGTGAAGCTGGGAGAGCACGAACCAGTTAGGAACTCTGAGAACCTCTGGTCAGTCATCCCGCCCTCCACCATCCTGCCCTCTGCTATCCAGCGCTCTATCATCCCGCCCTCCACTATCCTGCTCTCTACTATCCAGCGCTCTATCATCCCACCCTCCACCATCCTGCCCTCTGCTATCCAGCGCTCTATCATCCCGCCCTCCACCATCCTGCTCTCTGCTATCCAGCTCTCTATCATCCCGCCCTCCACCATCCTGCTCTCTGCTATCCAGCACTCTATCATCCCACCCTCCACCATCCTGCCCTATACTCTGCAAAGCTCTATCATCCTGCCCTCTGCTATCCAGTGCTCTATCATCCCGCCCTCCACCATCCTGCCCTCTACTATCCAGTGCTCTATCATCCTGCCCTCTGCTATCCAGTGCTCTATCATCCTGCTCTCCACCATCCTGCCCTCTGCTATCCAGTGCTCTATCATCCTGCCCTCCACCATCCTGCCCTCTACTATCCAGTGCTCTATCATCCTGCCCTCCACTATCCTGCCCTCTGTTATCCAGTGCTCTATCATCCTGCCCTCTACTATCTAGTATCTATCATCTTGCTCTCCACCATCCTGCCCTCTACTATCCAGTGCTCTATCATCCTGCCCTCTGCTATCCAGTGCTCTATCAATCATCTTGCTCTCCACCAACCTGCCCTCTACTACCCTATACTACCCAACCCTCCATCATCCCACCCTCTACCATCCCGCCTTCTACTATCCAGGGCTCTAACATCCAGCCCTCCATCATCCTACTCTCCACATCCTGTCCTCTACTAACCAGTGTTCTATCATCCAGCACTCTACCACCCAGCCCTCCATCATCCTGCCCTCTACTATCCAGGGCTCTATCATCTAGCACTCTACCACCCAGCCCTCTACCATCCAGCCCTCCATCATCCTGCCCTCTGCTATCCTGCTCTCTACCACCCCACACTCTATCATCCAGCACTCTACCACCCAGCATTCTACCATTCAGCTCTTCATCATCCCTCCCTCTACCATCCAGCACTTTTACCTCTCAGCACTCTACCATCCAGCCTTCTGCCATCCTGTCTTCTACTACCCAGGGCTCTATCATCCAGCACTCTACCATCCAGCCCTCCATCATCCTATTCTCCACCATCCTGTCCGCTACTAACCAGTGTTCTATCATCCAGTGTTCTACCACCCAGCCCTCCATCATCCCACCCTCTACCATCCTGCCCGCTACTATCCAGGGCTCTACCATGCAGCACTCTACCCCCCAGAACTCTACCATCCAGCCCTCCATCATCCTGCCCTCTACCACCCAGCACTGCCATCTAGCTTTCCATCGTCCTGCCCTCTACCACCCAGCCCTCTACCACCCAGCCCTCTACCATCTTGCTCCTAGGAAATGAACCAAGAGACGCAGGTTCATCTACCCACCAAAAGGTACCTAGAAGGCATTCCCCGTGGGTTTCATCTGGAAGCTAAGCAATTCTGAATCCAGAGGCTGGTCAGCAATGCCATGTAGAAGCTTGTGGTCAAGCAGAGGTGAGGTGGAACCTTACATAGCCCTGAGAAGGGAGGGGACGATGGCTGCAGGTGATGCCTGGGAGAAAACCCCAGCAGTGACAATAGGTAAATGAGGCCAGACACAGAGTGTCTGTGAGTCTAATGGCTCTCGGCTAGCGTTCACTGGGCTCCTGCTTTGGCTTTGGGATGTGGTGGGGCTGGGAGGGATTGCTATTCTTCCTTGTCATGGTGGCATCTCTGGGTACCAGCGCCCCTCCCATCCCATGTGCTCTCTGACCCCATGTTCTGCTCTCCTCTCCTCTCCCACGCAGCTCCAGCCACACCACCCCCTTCACAGGGCTTTCTGCCTCTGGGCCTTTGCACCTGCTGCACCCCCTTCCTGGGACTCTCTCCCCCCACATCCAGACCCTCACACCCTCTCCTCCAGTTGTCACCTTCCCTGCCCATCTATCCAAAATGGCACGACTGTCTCTCTTTAGGGAGCTCCACCCATTTCCCAGAGGAGAGGATCAAGGCTCAGAGAGATCAAATAACTTGTCCCAAATCACCCAGCAGTGACTTGGGTCGGTGGCTTCAAAGAGGGACCCCAAGTAGGAACTCCTTGGCCCTGCCCCCTGTGTCACTATAGCAACCCAGAAGAGAAAGGATGGAGGGCAGAAGAGTAGTCCTAGCTGGTCACCTCCCTACCCCTCCACCCTCAGCTTCCAATCCTGTCTGAAAAGTTCCTCTGGGAGTCTAACCTACAGCCTGCCCCCGACTCACACCCACGTACAGGAGCTGGCTCCTGGAGGAGGGAGACAGAATGTTGGCAGAACTTCTCTAAAAGGAGAGTGTGAGTGTGGTGTGTGTGTGTGTGTGTGTGTGTGTGTGAGAGAGAGAGAGAGAGAGAGAGAGAAATGGAGAGGGGGGAGAGGGGGAGAGAAGGCGTGGGCGGGAAGAGGGGTGATTCTTAAAGGGCCACCACACAATTAGCCCCCTTGGCAAGGCCCCTAATGATACAGCCAATTAGCAGCCCCCTAATTAACAACGACATAGGCATAATTACCCACCAGGAGCTAAAGCAATGATTCCAGCTCACTGTTCCCCTCCCTCTCTTTGGGCTTTTCAGAGATGCTGGGGCCACCTGAGAGGCAAGCATTCATCTAAATGCTTCTAACCAGTTAGAGCTGTGGCCTGGGGAGCCAGTCCTCCCCCAAGTCTAACCCTAGGTCTTTCTTACTGCAGCCCCTGGCTACTGTTTTCACCTAGTACTTCAGGCCTGGGGGTGGGGATGCCCCCCCTCCCGCCCCGTAAATCAGCCAAAGGCAGCCAGCCAGAGCTCCTAGCACTCCCTCCCCTGCTCAGACAGACAGCCAGCCGGCTCTCCTTGCGGGCCTCAGGGGAGGAGAGGTCAGGAGAGAAAGCACTAGATAAATATTTGTAAAATGAATGGCCAGGAGGCTGGGTTGGGCTCCAGTGCGGGGCCTCGGGGCTCCCAGTGCTCAGTGCTCCTCCTGCCCTGCCCACCTCCACCTCCCAGGCCTCCAGTGCCAGCAGCCTGAAAGCTGATCTGTGTCCGTGGGGTGCAGGGCTGGGAGGGGGACTAGGGGGCAGCAGCCGTGTGGGCTGCCCAGGTCCTGGAGAGGCGGCAGCCGGTCCGGGTCCATCTCCCTGCAGCCTCATAGGCTTGTGGCCAGATGGCTCAGTGGGGTTCCCCCCTTTCTGCCCGACACCCCTATGAGTGTAAAGGGGGGACCCCGATTTCTGAACACACACATTCTATTACCATTTATGTCTGCAGATCTCACACACACACACACACACACACACACACACACACACACACACACTCTCTACTTGGGCTTCAGGGCTGGGCTACACCCGCAGGTAAACTGAGGTCTGGAGTGGGGAGAGGAAGGACTTGGCCAAGCACCCAGTTTTCCAGTCAGGCGCAGAGCAGAGACCGGAAAGCAAAGGCGTGGGATCTCCCCAGCCATCTGGAGTCCCCACGCGGTGCAGGCATGGGGCGGGGACCTCGCTCCCGGCCAGGGGGGCGGAGGACACATGGCCCTTCCTCCCCAGCCCTCATCTCTGGGGCTCTTCCCCAAGAATAGGGAGGAGAACTGGCCACGAGCCCCCCAAGTGGTAGCCAGGAAAAACCTTTGCCTCCCATCCCCAGCGAGAGATCTGTGCCTAGCATGCCACGAGAGAGAGAGAGAGAGAGAGAGAGAGAGAGAGAGAGAGAGAGAGAGAACTGGCCAGGCCTGACACAGCCCCAAG